AAAAAAAAAAAAAAAAAAAAAAAAGGAAAACATATAAAGAGGGCTCAGTGCGAAGGTCCTGGCTTCAATCTCCAATACCAGTTTTAAAAAACTGTGCTAGACTTGAAGAACAATGTCCGCTTTTATACTTTCTGAGTAATGGAATGAGCATTTGCTTATTCGGCTGCCTTTTCTGCCAGCTATTATTGCAGCTTATTTATTTACGTTTTTTGTGATGTTTGTACCAGGGATCAAACTCGGGACCTTGCGCTTAAGAGGCAGGTGGCAAAACCGCTGAGCTAAATCCCCAGCCCTTTATTTATTTTTTACTCTTTAGGGCATTTTGAGTTACTGAATCTGTCCGTCCATCTGACCCTCTACCATGCCACCCACCCCCTGCACCCGAGGATTTCCAGAGTGGGTCTTGCACTGCCACCCACCAGGGGCCAAGGCCCAGGCCAGGCCCTGGTGGCTTCACTTAGCGTGGAGTCGGGAGGTGTTGGTGACAGTTTCTCCGCTCCTCTTTTTAGATCTCTCTCCGTCTGTCTCACACCCATCTCTTCCACATGCTCTTGTGTTCATGGCAGATGCTCCCCAGCCTCCCACTGAGGACGCCTACCTACGATTGGATGAGTACGGGAGCTCAGGACGGCCCCGGAGATCAGCTGGGAAGTCCCAGAAGGGCCTCAGTGTGGAAACCCTCGTGGTGGCAGACAAGAAGATGGTGGAAAAGCACGGCAAGGGCAATGTCACCACGTACATCCTCACAGTCATGAACATGGTAAGAGAGGGGGTTCTGGGCCTGCCTGGTTCCCTGTGGAGCCAAAAGGTTCCTGCATGGGTGGAATGGCAGATAGAGCTGATGGTTTCATGGTGACTGTAGAGAAAACCATCTTCAAAGGTACATACATTTTGGTGAAATAGACGCCCGTGCACTTGTACCTATGTCTGACTGGTTTCCTTTTATGGTTTTGCTAATTATTGAGATTTATTAGATTTTCCTTGTTCCGACAGGTTTCCAGCCTGTTTAAAGATGGAACAATTGGAAGTGACATAAACATTGTAGTGGTGGGCCTCATTCTTCTGGAACAAGAGCCTGTAAGCAGCGAACTTCATTTATTTCTTCATTCCTTCTGCCATTCAAGAAGCCTTTATTGAGCACTTACTATGTGTAGATGCATGTACCAGTCATTAGAAATTCAAACTGAAAAATATTCTGGCCCTTACCTCAAGGAAAATATCCTCATATAGGACTGTATAATCAAATAGCTAAACTAAAATACCACAAAATAACCGAATATTAATTTGTGTATTATATGCATATATAAATGTTCAGTGGCACAAAATATTGAAAGCCTACATAATAGAAATGAAAATGTAATATGGAAATATGATGCACAAATATAGAAATATATAGACTCCTGAGGAAAGTGCATTTGGTCATAGATTTAAAGATTAGTTGGATTTTTGCAAGTTGGAGATAGCAGTTGCAGGTGGATGCACAGAGATTATTTTGAAAATATATTGAAAGTCATAGGAAAATTCTTGGAGTGAACCTCTGGTCTCCCAGCAGCACCTTAGGTACTGCAGAGAATAAGCAGGGATATTTAACTGCCCTTGGGTTGATTATAGTCAGGGCTAAGACACAGGCATGAGGCACTTTACAAAACCGGAGAATGTGTGGAATTGCACGGTAGCACTTCGTAGTGTTTTGATGTATGAGCTGCGTTTTTCCGAGGTAGGAATTGCCAAACACCCTGTTAAATCCCCCGTGGCTTTTCCTGTCCATCTGTAACCTCAATGAAGAATGCACATGGCAGGGAGTCAGGGAAGACACAAAGCACCCCTACTTGCCCACATGCGTACAGCTGCAGAGGTTAGGAACATGCTGAGTTACCCTTGGAATTTTAAAAAAATAGAAAGGACGTGTATTGTTTGGGAGACACCTTTGCTCTTATCCTGCCCTTAGTACCTTGCTGCAAGATAAGCCAGTAGCACCCCAATTTATGGATATGGTTCTCATCTAGAAAGTGTTAACTTGATCCATGTCAGTAGTTCTGACAAGCAAGCATTTTGATAAAGAACTATGTTAGGAGTAAATCCTATTTTTCCCTGTACAGTCTTATGACTGTTTACTCATTCATTCGGTGACATTTCACTGTACTGATTATTCATTGAGTTTGAAGTACAGTGTTCCAAACCCTTTGCCGGAAACCTGACATAGAGGTCAGGAGGCTGCAGTCGCTGCCTTTATCATGTTGTACTGAAGAGACTATTGAACTTCATCACCATTAATTTGTTATTATGTTGGAACAGTGCAGCAGTTTTGTAAAGTTGGCACCTGGTCACACAAACAAAGGTATTATTCCTAGTCGACATTAGGTTATTCATTGTAGAAATATACTTGCTTATAAGTCACATTATGGAAGTTTTGCAGTTGCTTTAAAAATTGTGAGCCTTGACCTAAAATAGATTGTGTTCCTAAAATAGATTTTTTTCTTCCTACCTTAGCTCCAGTGTTTTGTACCCACTGCCTCCCCCTACCCCCGGATTTTGTGTTTGTACAAATGGAACCATTTAAAGTTCTCATCTCTGTGACAAAAATCACACTCTGACTTGTGTGGGTTTCCCATAGGGAGGACTGTTGATCAACCACCATGCGGATCAGTCCCTGAACAGTTTTTGTCAGTGGCAGTCTGCCCTCATTGGAAAGAACGGCAAGAGGCACGACCATGCCATCTTACTCACAGGATTTGACATTTGTTCCTGGAAGAATGAACCGTGTGACACTCTAGGTATGGCACGAACAGATCCTGTAAGCTGAAAACACAGCATGGAAATTGTCTCGTGGGTAGATGGTCTTTGTGATGCTTTTTAATGAGACCTAATGCAGTCAGGCGGCATTTAGTGATGAGGCTCCATTCCGAGAAATGTGTTGTGTGCATGAGTGTGTCGGAGGATGCTGAAACAAGCCGTGGTGGTTGTGATGTTACAGTCACTCCTGAAAGGAAGTCGCTCTGGAGAACAGAAACACCACATGGCAGCGGATAGGAAAAAAGTCGGTTTAATCTGCACAGACTCCCATGGCGTGTCCATGTTTTCTACCATAGAGATGGGTCAGGGTGTGTGTGTGTGTGTGTGTGTTTTCCTGTGGAAGATACAGCCTGCATTTTGACATTAATGCCACTGTTAAAGAGTACGTTGCGGTGTCACTATCATTTGATCAACTGCTCCAAGTCGGAAAATAAACTTCGGTAAGGCACCTAAATCCCCTGTGACTTCTTTTCCATGTAAAATGTGAATCACGATTTGCCTGCTGACCTCCCTAGGTTGTCAGGTGGAGCAGTTTATAGCACTATCTAAACACAGCGGAAATTATGAAATGTCACTTTGTAATTACTTTCGGAAGCACTAGGAGCATTCACCTGCAAAAAAAATTAATTGCACTAAAACCCATTAAGAAGAGACTGAACGGAGCATTTTGAAAACAAAAGAAATGACCGTGTATGTATATGTGGCCTCTCGGATTAACTCGGAAATGGATCTTTTCACAGGGTTTGCCCCAATCAGTGGGATGTGCAGTAAGTACCGAAGTTGCACCATCAATGAAGACACGGGGCTGGGCCTTGCCTTCACCATTGCCCATGAGTCAGGACACAAGTGAGTGGCTCCTGATTGACCACTTCCTCTGACAGCTGGCCAAGGGACTCATCGGCTTTGCCCTAACGATGATTATTGACTGTTACTGAGCTAGGTCGAATCCATGGCATAAGTTTGTTTGACACCAAGAACAATGCCCAACTGCAAGAAGGGCTCAGGAACCCAAAGTGTAAATAATTAAAACAGAAAAATGAGAGACAGTAGGAAACAAGAAGGTAGATCTTTTGCACATGGGAAGGGAATCTAGAAACGGAGGGAGAAAGACTGGAAGAGGAGGGGAATAACAACAATTAAGATATGTTAAGTACATGTACTTACTTCCTAAGATGAATGCAAACATGCAAACACTATGTGCTACTAATATGTACTAATAACTCAACAGATGAAAATTTGCATTCTTTAACATTTTTTGTGTGAAGTCAGGTGTGGTGGTCCTTGCCTCTAATCCTAGCACTCTGGAATACTGAGGCAGGAAGATTGCAAGTTTGAGCCCATCGTGGGCAATTTAGGAGCTTTGAAAGACCTTGTATCAAAAAGTAAAAGCCCAGGATATAGCTCAATGCAGAAATTCAGAGTCCAGTCCCCAGTACCACACATGAACACACAATTTTCTGCTGGAAATTTCCAACAGTTCATAGCAACTCATTTTTGTCTTTCTTTTTCCTACAAGTGCAGTAACTGTTCTTACCTCCAGTCCATGAATTCCCAGTGCATCCTTCTGCATCTGCTGGTTACAGTGTGGACTGTGGCTTCACACGTATGTGGCTTTCTTCCCTCTGTTTCAGTTTCGGCATGATTCATGACGGGGAAGGCAATCCGTGCAGGAAGGCTGAGGGCAACATCATGTCTCCCACGCTGACAGGAAACAATGGAGTGTTTTCGTGGTCTTCCTGCAGCCGACAGTATCTCAAGAAGTTCCTTAGGTAAGGCAGGTGAAAGCCAGCCTGTTTCCACCTTTGGAGTGGTGACAGAGAATCGTGTTCAGTGAGTGTGAAATCAGACAGTAGAAATGCCCGTCTACACCTCAGTGAACAGAATGAGTGACAAGTTCCTATGATGATGATGATAGCAACATTATTGTTGAAAACATAAGCCAAAGCCAATACTGTGCTAAATACTCTGCACATTGCCTCTTGCAGTCCTTGCAGTAATGCTTTCAGTAGCTGCGTTCTAGAGTTGAGGAGACAGAGTCATAGGGAGGTTAATAGTGTTGCTGAAATGCTACAAGTGGTGAATTGTAGACAGAAGGCTCACAGTGAGGTCGGTGCTTAGTCCAAGATCTCTACTTCTAGCCCTGTCTCTTTCTTCTGACTTCCACAGGCTGCTGAGTATGTTGCCTTTTTCCTATGATCAATTGTTTTAGTCTGATCAATTTGTCTTAGGAGTATTTTTTAAAATGCTTCAGTGGCATGTATGTTTAATGAATAGAACATTTCCTTGATTAGCTGTTTTGTTTGAAATGGCCACAGGCTGGCTCTGTGGCCAAAGACATCTAAAGCACATGCAGCTACACATAATCCTTTTGATGGCTCAGAACTCCTAGATGGCACTAATAAAAGTAGAAGTTAGGAAAGCCCTATTTGAGTCATATTAAACAGTGATCTGAAAGTTGATTTATTTGTATGTAGGTAGATCTTCTGAGTTTATATCAACCCAAACAGCCATGTAGGTTCTATTCCCATGACTAGAAATTAATGATGTCTATTTTTTATTATTTTGCATGCATGGAAGTATATATTATTTGTAATTGTTTAGAGAATTACCAAGATAGGCAAGGGAAATTAAATTAAAGATGTCTAATTAAATGATGCCCAAAGGGCTGTAAAAAAAAAAGGGATAGACCTTGTACTAATAATAAGCTTTGCTAGTAGATCTTCTTAGTTTTAAATCCATGAGTTGGGTCCCAAAGTTATCTTTTGTAACTTGTGTGAGAATGAAATTACTATTATAAATAAAGATCAACTTGTGGTAGATTGGGTTTTCATTACTAATTTGTTATAGTCAAGTGCTTCGGTATAGTAATGATAATAGCAGCCACTAACTTGGCCTCCTTTGCTGTTTTAAGCATGTTGCATGTTCTCGTTTGAGCTATGTAACAGCTGTTGTGGGAGTCATTGTCATTGGTGAGATGATGAGAGTTATCAATTCAGTCTTGCATGCATGGTCAATAGGAGTTCAGTTGTCTAAGTGGACCGAAGACACCAAGAAATTTATGTCATCAAGACTGAGTTTTGTTCTCAACATGTCCCAGTCAAACGCACCTTATGGCAGGTTTTCTTCCTCATGCCCCGGTATAGTCTTTTCTCCTTATCCTTTCAGTAGCCTTATTTATGAAGCTTATCTGAGGCAGAGTACATCTTTGACTTCTCTTTCACCATCTGTAAAAAGTATAACATGATTTAAAACTCTGCAAAAACAGGTAGTGCCTCTGTTTGGATTTTTTTGTGCCCTTAGTACTTAGCTGAATGCTTAGCACATAGTAGTCACTGAATAAAAATTTATGAGTATTGTTGAATAAGACTGTCAAAGGAAGTTTCCAAATATTTACCTTTCCATCTTCAATTCCAAGCCAAATGAGCAGGCTTGCTAGAACTTCCAGCTCCTTGAAAAGTCTATCATTCTTTAGGGGAAAAAAAGTGTATTACGTACTTTAAATGTATCCCTATTTCCTTAACTGTTTTATTTTTAATTTTTTGTATGGCTGTATGCACAGGGGTATTGCTTTAAATGGAAATATCACAGATTTGTACAGTAACTAATGAAGATGTGCTTTCCCTGCAGCACACCTCAGGCTGGGTGTCTAGTGGATGAGCCCAAGCAAACAGGACAGTATAAATATCCAGACAAACTGCCAGGGCAGATTTACGATGCAGACACACAATGCAAGTGGCAATTTGGAGCAAAAGCCAAGTTATGCAGCCTTGGTTTCGCAAAGGTATGTTTGCTTGTGATTCCAAACTTACATTAAAATTTCGCAATGTGTCTGCATGCCTACCAGAAGGATAAACATTTGGTTTGCTGAGGGCAAAGGGCAGAGTCTGGGTTATCTAAAATGTCAGCTGTTTGGCATGATAATTAAGTGGCAATTTTACTGTCAATGAATTACCCAGGATTATTCCCCATAGACCATGCCTGGTTTAAATATCACTTACTACATGCTTGGAAGAAAATTCCTTCTTAGATGAAGGCTTTATCCCTACTACTAAGTCTACCTACTTGCTAATCACTGTTTTTGTTCTCTTATTTCATATTCCCTTTTAATTTAATACACTCAAAATGATCACCAGTCCAAAATGTACAACACACCTCTTACAATAAAACTTATGGACAGCCAAATTTTCCTTGTATGTAAAAATTTAAGATATATTTTGAGGACTCTTAATAAGGTTTTTGCTGGAGAACGTTAAAAAGAGAAATAAGAAAATGTGAAAGTCCAAGAGTTGGTCAAGAATTACATCAGTGACAGCATTATAATCTCAACATCACTAAAGAGTTGAGTTTTAAAATTGGTTTATTCCTAGTAGTCAGTGAGAAATGTTGAGGTCTGAGGTACCTGGATCCATGAAAACTGTAGAGGTTAATAATAGCTCCTCTTTCCCTCTCTATTTCTGTTACTCTTCCCTTTTCTCCCCCTGCTATTCTTTTCCCTTTCTGTCCTTGTCCACTAACACCCACCAATCACCACCAGAAACACTCATCAACAGCACCATTGCCCTCATAACATGGCCTCCAATATGGCCACCAGCACCATGGCCACTCCCACTGTCCACTACCCTTGGCTACCACCTACCATCTCGCCACTGCCACTGTCCACTGTCACCCGGGAGTTTTCTCAGTGGGTCTCTGCTCCAGTAAGGCATTTCTACTTAGAGATTTATTTTACCTGAACTCAATCTTCAAAAAACCTTTGAAGTCAAAATTAGTATCACTTTTCACTTGGATCTCAGTGTACGTATTTTATTTGCCCAAACCTACAAAACTTTTAGATGATGGGATGTAAACAAAACAAACCGTCCACATTGACGGCAAGCTTCCTCCTCTCTGCCACTGAATACAGTTTTTCCTGATCTTCGGTCACTTAACACTGCCTTCACTTGTTGTGTGGTTTCTCTGTATTTTTATTCACTTACTGCTTTTCTACAGATCAACTCACTTTCAAAATACAGGTCAATTCCTAGGAATCTATCAAATCTCAGGTTGGGTTTGGAGATCTATATTTTAATGCATTTTGAATGTGCAGTTGTTGGCTAGAGATGGGGCTCAGTGGAAGAGCCCTCGCGTGGCCCGTGTGAGTCCCTGAGTTCAGTACCACCACACACAAAAAAGCAATTATTAAAAATGTTTATCCAGATCCACAAATGTTTTTTTATACATCTTTCTGCCACAAGAACTTTACTTTGGCAAATGCTGGCGCATGATAGGTAAAAAATAGCAAATTCTCAAATGCTCCTATGAGCCTGTTATGGTGAAGCTGTCGGCAGGAGTAAATAGTCAATTACATCGTTGAAAAAAGTTTATCTCCTGACTTTGTCCTTACTCGGTTCATTCTGGAAGACTCATGGGCTTTCCCAATCATCAGTCAAATATTATGTGTTACTCTGGAGCACATGCATGTGAGGTTCCCCAAATGATTTCATTCCTCCAGGATCATACACTCAGCAAACATTTGTGGGCTGCCTGTTCTGTGCTGGATCGTGTATAGGGCTTGGAGAGCCATTCTTAAATTATAGATCATTTTCTGAAACTACTCCATATTTTTAAAAGATTTTACTCTGAGGGTCTTCCCAATAAAAAGCAACGGGGAAGGAAAATTCCAAACTTGAAGATGGACTGAAATGATAGAGGGCACGGAAGTAGGAATGTCTGGAGGGGTAGGGAGATTTGCTCAAGAGCAAGAGAAGCTGTTTAGGATAATGATGAGGTAGAATGGAGCAGGTGGGGTTGCTGGAGGATCCTGAGCCTTGGATATGCTCCCTAACCGTGGCCACACCTCTGAGGACGGTGAATATGGAAGTTCTTTGTCAGGCTGTGGTGAGGAGGGGTTTCCAAAGCAATAACATCCCTGTTTGTCCTGCTTAGCTCAAGCAGTTTAGACCGCCTCCAGCTGCAGGAGAGAGGTGGCGCTTGTCTCTGGGGCCTTCACTGTCCTATCCATTACTTTCTCTTTTTCCTCGGTTTGCATGCCCTTTCCTTTTCCCCTTTCCTCCTCTCCCACGCCACCCCTTCCCGTCTCCTCCCATTCCATCCCTTCTCAGTGACACTAACCCTTCTCCATGCTTCCTAAACAGGCAAGTTTGGATAGTAGTGAGAAGTGCCAAGACCAACAACCTGACTCTTCAAGTGTCCTCTCGAATCAGGTACAGCGTGTCAGTATCTCTTGGGACTTGCTGGAGATGCAGATGCTCAGGTCCATCCCAGAGCTGAGGGGTGAGAAACTTCAGGTGTAGGGTCCTGGGATCTCTGTCTTTAAAGGGCTGTTGCTGGAGTTTCAGTGATCCTTGGTCAATGTACCCTTTCTGGCTTTTAGGGTTGGATAGATCTGGGTCTAGGATGTGATCCCATCACCTCCTAGAAGCTTGGGCAAATAACTCGTGTCCCTCAAAACAAGTGTCTACATGTGTAAGGAGAAGATGATAGTATTTCTTCCTTGGCCAATCTGTGAGCAGTAATCTCTCCATATTGTTCTATCACTCAATAAATGGTGAGGCAACCCTCTCGCTTTCTTTCTCCTGTCTTCATCATCCTCACAACCATGATATTTGGCTGTTCTTTCACATTAGCTGCCTTGGCAACAGGTCTGAACCTGGTTATTTTCATCACTTCTCGCTTCCTCTTTTCTCCCAGTGTCAAATTTTCTGTCTTTGGCACGTCGTACTCGATCTTTGTTCCCTTCCAAAATGTTTGTATTCATCAGTGTTGTATTGCTACAAAATACTCCAAAATATTAAGGCAGGCTCTTAATAAAGAAGAGGTTTCTTTAGATCACAGTTTGGGAGGTTCCTGGGTGTCATAGCAGTGGTGACAGCTGAGCTGCTGAGTGCCCTTCAGGCTGTGTCACACTGAGGCAGATGACAGTCGCAGGAGCATGTGTGGGAGCAAGCAATTGCAAAGTGTGGTTCAGAACTGTGGCAAATGTTTAAAATTTTATTGCCGTCAACCTGAGTTCAGTCTCTAGTACCAACTGAAAAATCCATTCTGTATAATTCCATTTATACAGAATTTTTAAAAGTACATCCCTAACTTGTGGGGATGGATATCAGGGCAGTGGTTGCCTCTGAGAGGGGAATTTGGGGTGAATGTTCTGCCTTGATTATGAGGCGTCTGCAGTGGGGTGTATATTTTGGAAAAAAAAACCTCCCTAAACTATATGCTTAAAGTGGGTGCATATTATGGTAGTAAATTATACCTCAGTAATCTTGATTTCAAAAATGATACTGGTGACAATTCTTGTTGATTGTTACTTTTAAATTGTTAATTGTTGCTTTTGAATTAGTGCTTAGTTTAAAAGCTTGGGCAGTGAGGTTAAACATAAGTGGGTTTAAATCCAGGTTACCCAGAGACTTAACCTGCTAAAAGCAATGGAAGGATTTGCTTAACTTCTCTTGAATGTCAGCTTGGCCAGGAGCAAGTTGAGGCGAACACTTGTACCTTTCCCACAGGATCATCATGAGGATGCAGAAAAACTGTAGGCAAAATTCTTTGTATCAGCTCCTAATTTTTTAGCATATTGTATTAGATTCTTTTCTATTTTTTAATTGAAGACTTAAGGACTTCGTGGTCTTTATTATCAGTGAAAATAATTTGTAACTATAAAGTCAATAATGTTCATTCATATATTGATTTACTGCAAAATATTTATTGCAGCCTGCCCTGTAGCAGGCGCTGTTCCAGGTTCTTGAGATGCATCAAAGAAGAAGCAGAGGGCCTCTCAGGTGTAGCCCTGATGTTTCGGTGCGGGTGGTGGTGGGGACATCACACATAGAGATTGACTCACAAGTGTTGAATAAATGTGGAATAAGAAGGAGAAACTGGGAACTTATGGGATGGTAGGTGATTACATTTTTAATAGTGTGGTCATAGGTAAAATTTAGGTAGAGACTTGAAGGACTTAAGAAAATATTAGATGTTCAGATAGTTGTGGAAGTACAGCAGGTTATGCAAAGGGCCGTGTTTGGAGCAAGCTGGAGGCAGTTACAGAGCAGGGTGAACTGGGGGATGCCGGGTCAAAAAGATAAAGGGAACCCAATGACTTGTGGCTGGGTAGGAGATAATAAGGACTTTGATTTTTTTCTGAGTGAAGTGTGACAGCATTGCATGGTTTTGAGCAGAAGCGACATGAGCTAGCTGACCTTGGAAAGATGTGGGAAGATCTCCCTAGCTCAGTGCTGTGCAGTAGAACTTTGTAGCGATAGGAAAGATCCCTGCCATCCAAGATGGCAGCCTCTCATCACATCTCACTCTTAATAACATGGACTAGTAGGATAGAGGAAGTGAATTTTTTTTTTTTTTTTTTGTACCGGGGATTGAACTTGGGTCTTTGCACTTGCAAGGCAGGCCACCAAACCGCTGAGCTAAATCCCTGGTGAGGAAGTGAATTTTTAAGTAATCTAAATTCCAGTGTAGCAAGTCATGTGTGGCTGGCTACAGGCTACTGTACTGGATAGTGCTTAGTTGAGAGTAAATTGGGAAGGAATAGGGGAAAGAAGAGACTTGAGGCTTGGGGTGAGAGCAGGGGTGGCAGCAAACCAGCTCACAGGTGGCTCAGAACAGGGTGGCAGCCATGGTTGGGAAGATATTTGTTCAGATCCTACAGCTGTTTTGAAAGTAGAGCCAATATGATTTCACAGTCTACAGGCAGACTTCCTAATAGAAAAGGAGAGGACTCAAAGGTGCCTACAGAATTTGGGGTCTGAGGGACAGGAGGATGGAGGTGTCATGAAGTGAGATGGGGAAGGGTTTCGGGCACCGATGAGAAATTTTATTTTGATGTGTTAGGTTTGAGATGCTTTGTAAAATCTGATGCTCAGACACCATGAACATTTCTGGCACAGCCGGTTTTAGGTGAAGAATTGTCCCTGCTGTGGATTAAAGCCAGAGGACATGGTCCGTGGGCAGCAGGACAGAGAGTGGACAGTGTTGAGTCTCTTCCCTTAAAAATGTGGTCTCATTCAGACAAATCATATCAAGGCAACAAGAGACCTCGGGGTCTCTATAGTAATTTATTTTTGCCTTAAATTATGACTTAAGTCCAGGAAATTATAGATAAGAAGTTGGTTGAATGTGCTGGAAGAGAAAAGAGGGAGGTATAAGCAAAAAAGTACAACCCCCCCACTTCGTGTTTACTTTGAAAGGGAGCTTTCTCAGGAGGGCTTCCTGATCGTCAAAGCATGTAGTTGGCTATAATTACGTTTGACTTCTGCACTTCACCACAGAAGAAATAACATGTTCATACAGCCTGTCTTGTTTTGCTCTGCAATCCTGGTGCTTTGTTTTGTTTTGCTTTACTTTATTCCCCTGGCCCTCTCCAGCCATCCCTCCTCTCAGCTCTGTGGCCTGGCACTGACCATGGCGTCCAGCCTTTCTGTGGTCTTTTCTAGGGTCATTTTGGAGGCAGCCACACAGGCTATGTATGGCTATGTGTTATAGTTTTCCATGGCTGTAAGGAGGGCAGAAGTTTAATTCAGAAAGCCTTTGTAAGTATGACTTTAACTGTTCCCAAACGGGCCACCTCTCACTCTCCAGCGTGACCTAGACTGTTCTCTGTTCTGTAGTAAATAGATCCTCTGCACCCCAGGGTAGCCTCGTCAGGAAGCATACAAACATGGGAATTCCCTCGTTCTTCTTGCTGCTATAACTAATACCTTCATGGAAAGATGTATCGGTAGCATCTTGTGAGCTTTGAGATTTGGGGATGATCTTGCTGCTGATGTGTGGGGCTACTGCTGGTGGTAGTGTTTCTAAGCACTGACATGAATCTCCTTCCATTCTCTGTGGGAGGGAGGAATTTAACAATCTATAAGATGAGATTCACTGCATACATCTGGTTTCCCTGTTTTCTTGGTCCAGTGGAAAGTTTTTAAATGTATGAAATATTACTACTAAACTAATTATGTTTTTATTTTTGAAAAATACTGAGTGGAATTCTTGAGGAATAGAGTGTCTAGTTAATTGAATTTCCAGAGTTATGTCAAGTATCCACCAAAACCATGTTGTCATCTCTTCTGTTGTCAGTATTTTCTCTCAAATGTGCGCGTTTACGTTTCTGTCTCGGTGAAAGGAATGTGGCACACGAGATAGAGTCCCTTTGATGATCCCCGATGTCTCCTGACAAACATCCCCTGGTGACTTTCTTCAGCGCAGCACCTTCGGCTCCTCGAGTTGGAAGCTGCCTGGTTCAGTCCCCTTACTTTACGGACAAGGAACTGAGGCCTGGGACGATGGAGAGCTTTCCGACGTCCATTCACAGCAAAGCCAGGTCCAGAGCTGTAGTGACAGAGCTCGACTCCGGAGCCGGGCCGCTGTGGGTCCCGACTGGCCCTCGGCGGCGGTGGGACTTTGCAGCTTTGGAAGTGTTGGTTGCTTGTCCATTTCCACCGCTAAGTGAGCTTCTTCAAATGCATGTGTTCTCCAGATTAGCAGTTGACTTGTGCTGCCTCCCAGCTGTTATGAAACCATAAATGAAAGGTGCTCTAGAGCCTTCCTGCTCCTACAGCTTTGCTCGCCTCTTTCTGAATACTTGGTCTTATTTCAGGGACCCCCACGGAGCAATTTTGTGTATAAAAGCTTTGCCTATTCCCACTCCTCTGGCAACACCACCCTCATCAGCACCTTCTCTCCTTTCAGGACATTTGCAAATCACTCTGGTGCCACCGACTGGGCCACAGGTGTGAGACCAAGTTCATGCCGGCAGCCGAAGGAACCGTTTGTGGCTTGAGTATGGTAAACTGCGTACTTGTTAGTTTTTAGCTCTGGAAACTTGAAAATCAGAACCCAACCCGACTGCTTGTGTCGTGACCTCAGAATGCAAGGCCTTGACCGCATATATTTTCTGCCTTGTCTTTATAGTAACCAGCATTATGCAGTAAGCTGAATGCTAATATAACCCAGCTAGTTCGATCATTTAACATTTTTTTATTTTTACTTTGTATCCCTTTTTCTTTCCAGATGGAGGCTTGAGTAAAAATATCACTATATTTCCCTCAGCTAATAGGTTTCATTGCATACCTTGTACCTTTTAAACTCTGTGCTTTATGTCGAAGCCTCAGGAGCAATTGTCACTCCAGACCAAAGCCTCTGCTCTTCTGCTCACAGGAGCTGTGTCTGGCTTCTGCCATGCCCGCAGATGCCTGTCACTCACAGTGACACCACTGTCAAAGGATGGGGCTTCCCCCTCCCTGAAGCACCCTCAGAATTTAGCTTCTATTTTCCCCCGTTTCCCGGTAAAATCTTCACCTGAAGGACCCGTAAGTGGTTCTGATTTGGGAAGTTCATTGGCAAAACCATGGTAGAGTTGCTGTAAGGATGACCTTTGCAGGTTTGCTGACTTCAGCCTGTGAGAAGACAGGACCACTTAAAGCAAATTCAGTCCCCCCGTGCTCTTTGGGCTACTAGATGTCAGGTACAGGAGATTCTGAGGATGCAGAGATGCATGTAAATCATTCATGCCCCTTAAAGACTTTACAGTCCAGTCAGGAGACCTGTGCAGAAGCCAGCGCGCCTCTCTCTTCAAGGCACACAGTTGTTAAGCACTAGTTGCTCTCAGAGCCCAGACGAATGAGGTGTGAGTCATGCTTTGGATTAGGTATGCACTTAGCATAGGTACAATGAATGGATACAGCAAGGTGGGCACTGGAGTTTACATAGAAGTTCTTCAGTGTGATAAGAAGAATAAGTACCTTTGTAGGGAAAGGCCAAAAATAGAAGCCAATCACAGACACATGCCAGCCAGTGGATACCCAGCAAATGAATGTTTTCTGATATTTGTTAAATTTTAGAAGATTTGTGAGGTTCAGTTTTAATCATTTACTTATTTTAAAGATAATAAGCATTTTAGAAATTGGAGAGTTATGCACAAATTTTAATTGGATATTACTAGGAACATTACAACTAGAAAACTACTACAAGGATTCTTACTAAAAATGCAATAGAAGTATTATAGCTGTGATGATACAAACAATAAATAATGAGATCATTGAAAACAAATACTACTCCAGTATTTGTTTTTGAAGCCTCAAAAATTAGAACGTGCAACTTGAGAATTAATGCATTTTCAAAAGGAACATTTAAACATGGGAAGTGTTGACAGAAATAGAAAAAGTTGATATAAATGAATAGTGTAAATAAGTAGTATATAATGTAGGTTTAGGTTTGTTCTATGAATACATCAGGGATCCGATTCCGTGGGGATTAAATGCACCTGCATTAGACTTCAGTGAGCAGAGCAAGAGATAAATTAGGACGGAAGCTGAAAAGTAAATGCCCCGTTATCCTGCTGCCTCTCCCATTGTTCTCTAACGTAGGTTGCAGGTTATGCGCTGGGCAGACCCCTGCACTGTGAGGTCACCTTCGGCAGACAGCACCCTGGTCGGTCCTAGCTGTCATCACTCCAGTGTATTTCTGTACCCACTCACTCGTTCACTCCGCCGATCCTTCCTTCAGCAGGGCGTGCAGCTGGCTCTTTCCTGGGCTGCAGGCTCCAAGAGGGGCAAGGCCATGGCTTAGCCATGCTTTTTGTTTTGTTTTGGTACCAGGGATCGCACTCGGGACCTTGTGTTTGCCAGGAAGGCACAGTGCCACTGAGCTGCATCCCCGGCCCGAAGTCTGTCTGTCTGTGGGGAAAAGGTTATCCTTCATTTATTTTTGTTCTCTGTGTGTTTTGTTTTGTTTTTTGAGTTAAGGTTGCACTGCATGGCCCAGGCTGGCCTCGAACTTGCCTCAATCCTGCCTCAGCCTCACAAATGCAGGGAGTACAGCCCTGTGCCACCACCCCTGGCTAGTCATGTTTTCCCTGAGTGCCAGGCGCAGCGTGGCCAGTGCTTCATGCTTTCCTTTTTTAACCGGAAGAACTCAATGCAGCCTTCCCCTTGCTCTCCTGCCTCTTGTCCTTCAGTGATATGTGTACTATCAATGCTTAATAAATGCTTGAGGCTATAAAGGCCATATACTTTTATCTCAAGGTATGTGTGCGAAGGAGAAAGGTTTGTGCTTGCTGTTTACCACAAGGTATTGGTGTAAAACAGCACCATTCAATTTGGTATTAGAAGTAGTGCTAGAGATATGTAAGTGTGAATAGATTGATAATATTAGATATGCATACATTTAATATTTACTTTTATATGTAGTTTTATATCTGCATGTGATTGTTTGCATGTATATGTGTAAATTACTGTATATTCCTAGTTTCTACACTGAAAAATCAGAGAGGGGCAGGCTGTCATCAGCCTAACCCAGTCTAGGATCCACACTGAAAGAATAAAAAGTCTGATTGATGGACTGGAACAGATCTAAAAAAAAAACTTTATCTGGAGATAAGGCATTAGATTAACACTAAGATACATTGATCAGTAATATACTTCTGAGATGAGAAGTACAAGTCCCATTTAGGAGCTTTGGCTGCTGAATTAAATCCAGTCTCTGCTGCATAAGTAGGTATCTGAGTATCCATGACTGTCAGCATGTTAATTTTTCTTCCCTTACAGTCTCTCCTCTGTATAATGTATCCAACTCCCCAAAGCTTTTGGAGGATTATATGAGATTTTGTATATGAAGTTCGTCTCCCCACCACTTTTAGGACAGAAACAACTTAGCCGCTGCCGGTGATATTGTCATTCGCTATTATTTTTGTTGTTTTGTCTCAGCCTAGTGCAGCCCTGTGGTTACTGGTAGGAAGATATGGTAGATGCAATCTTCAAATGACCATTAGCTTCACCCCCCAAAAAAAGTTCCCCCAATGTTATGTGATTTCATGTAATCCCTGAAATGGCAATTAACCCACTGGGGGGAAAATTGAAAACAGAACAATCAGTCAGCACATGGCAAGAACAGGAAGAAAGGAAGCAATATGTTAACCTAGACAATGTGCACCAGCTACGAAGCCACACAGTCAACAGCCACAAAGCCAAATGTATCGTGGGGGAAATGTGAAGGCTTAAAAGTCAAAACAATCTCCCCATAATTCTGTAACTGAGCCCCACTTCTCAGAAGAACCTGGCGTGGTCCAAACCCGACCCTTTGTGTCTAATTGCAGAGGCTTTTAGGAAAGTGCACAGTTACGCTTAGTCATGCAGAACTTGCTGGTAATAGAAGCATCACAGGACGAAAAGTAAAAAACACCCTAGGCTAGTGCAACCCCGGCGAGGGATATGACCAGCACAGCCTGGACTTTGTTGCAAAGCTAGAAAATTGGAAGGTTAATCCAGAAAACAGCTCTCACTCTACCTTGTACAGACGCTGGGCCAGTGAAAGACTCAGATTTAACTCATCATAGATGCCAAGAGTTCAAAGGCATCTGAGGATCTAAAGGAGGGGCCTTTCCTATAGACAGACAATTGAAGGGTGTTAGCACAAGAGCATGTTCAGACTTACTCGGTTTCATAAGCGATGCTCTATAGATAGTTTGCGTAAACAAAATCTAGTGTATATACAGTTGCATCTATTCTTTGATGAGATAACCACTTAAAATGATCAATTTTTGGTTGATAGCTTAAAAACTGTTTCTTTTTGAATGAATGACCTGAACTGTCCGTAGGTAACACTGTCCATGGCTGTCAAGGGGAGCTCTGGTGTCATCCTGACTCCCGCCCCCGGCTGCTGGGCGACTCACAAAGCGTGTGATCCTCACCCTGTTGCTGGCAGGTGCTCTTCTCTCTCAATGAGAACCTGTCTAGAGGCAGGTGGTAGATCTGGAGTATCTGAGTGCTTGTATAGCCCGGCAGGGGAAGGACTAAGCAGGGTGTCCCACAGCGCCTTTCTCTGTTACCTGGTACCTTTCGTCTCCTTGTGCTGTCAGAGGCGGTCTTTGACAGGAAACGTGTCGTGTTCTCTCCACAGTGGTGTCGCCAAGGCCAGTGTGTGAAGCTGGGGGAGCTCGGGCCGCGACCCGTCCATGGCCAGTGGTCCTCCTGGTCGAAGTGGTCAGAATGTTCCCGGACTTGTGGCGGAGGAGTGAAGTATCAGGAGAGACACTGCAACAACCCCAAGTAAGACTCTAGTAGAAAGCTGGTCTTTGGAAGACCTTGACCTTCGGCCTGTCACTTCCCGCCTCAAGTGTGGTTTTCTTGCTTTTGCTCACTAGCAGTCCACAGTGTTTTCCCTGTTTGCATAAGAGGCTGTGTACGCTGGGAAGCAGCAGGGTGGGCAGAAACCAGCACACAGCAAAGGAAGCTCCCTCTGTGTGAAAGGCCCCAGTCTGCTTGGGCAAGGTGGCTCGTTCCCATCATCCCCACTGTCCAGGAGGCTGAGGCAAGAGGAACACAGGTTTAGCCCAGCGTAGGTGACTTTGTGCTTGAGTGAGACCCTGTCTCCAAATTAAAAAAAAAATTAAAAAGGGGTTGAGGATGTAGCTCAGTGAAAAGATCCCGAACTCAATCTCTGGTACCAGAAGAAGAAAGTATTTCAGTCTCCAGCCCTCACCTTTCACATCCTGAGCTACTTTGAATCTCAGTGAGGGCTCTGCAGTCAGTCCTACAGAACAGGGAGGCTGGGCTGTTGGAACGTGTGTGGGCCTCCCAGCTCAGCGGGCTGGAGACATCAAGATTTTTGCTGCACAGAAATAGGCGTTAACGTGTTGACAGAGCTACCTGACTTTTCAAGAGAAATCAGGAAATTTCACAGTTTTGAAAAATTGACAATTTTTAAAAATTTTCCTTAAAAATGAAAATGAAAACAAAAAGCAACTGGGAGGAGTAACCGAGCCTCCCGGGATCAAGTCATACAGGTGTCTGCCCTCAGCAAGTGACACATGCTCATGTAGAAGGCTGAGCTTTGGGTACAGGAAGACTCCAGACCCTGTGTTTTCCCCTTCTTAACTGCCTGGGTTCTGCGAAGTCATCAGAGCTCTGAGCTTGGATGTGTGTAGGAATCAGAGATGCATCATCCACCTCAGAAGGTTTGGGCTGGACTAGAAATCATGCCTGGAAAATGCCTCAAAGTCGAGGGAGCATCTCTTGGACCCTCCACAAACGGTTCTGGAGTCTGTGCGGTTTTCAAAGTCCTCATTCAGAGATCACCAAAAGGGCAGGATCACCCCAGGGTCACCCCACTGAGGCAGGGGGAGAGGCAGAGGCATCCCTGGACCTTAGAGGGTGCAGTGGAATGAGAATAATGTGGTGGAGACTTGGAAAATGGGGGATTTCGTTTTACAACACGATTGCAGTAACTGCACAGAGGTTAAGGGAGGCTGAAGCCCAACTGTCCTGGCCCTGCCAGTGCAGGCCACGTGGCCGCTGCTGATGGGCTGTGTCTGTCCCCGGCCCCTCATTTACAAAACTGGGTAAGGGTGGCACCTAACTCTCCGAGATAACCATGATCATCTAGTTTGAAAAGGGCCTGGCAGGTTGTAAGCATGGCATAAATGCTTGGTGCATTAAGGATTACACTAAATAAGGAAACTAAAGCAACAGGAGGCTTCAGCGCTACTGAGATGAAGGGCCGGCACATGCCTGTGGCTGTCCTCCCTGGTACCTCCAGACTAGGTGCCAGTGGGGTCCCTTCCCATGCCTGCACCCTCCAAGCCAGAACCAAAAGTATCTGCAGGTGCTGGCCCTGGGCCTACAGGGGCAGAATCGTCTTTGAGACTCCCTGGGGTCTCAAGACCCGGGTACTGGGCATAATGGAAAGAAGACCTGTGACGTGTTTATGATGTATGCTGGGTTGTTACAGCTGCCCTCTGATGCTCTGAATGTAGCCCATGTTTGGGATAGGATTGTTAAAATCATTATATTACTTTCCTTTTTCGAAGCAGATTTCATGGATCTGTTTTTCATACATGGCAACGTTTTACAACCCCGATATTTTCCCAAGAAAGAAATAGATTACCAAATTTAATAGCTCTGCTGGTAAAGTGCATGAAGAATGCCCCTGAGAGTTAAATTTAAACCTTTCTCATATCTATGGGACTGAGAACTCTCATTATAATAGAGTATTGTTCATGGAAATATCATATTGTAATTTTAGAGATGCCTTATAAAAGCATTAATCACTAAAGTATTTCCACTTGGTGCGGTTTTGTCCCATTAAGCAAGATTAAAGATAATCAGGACGCTGTTTACTTTAACTATGCATGAAGTCACAAATAAAACAAGTAGATGATAGGATACCCCAAGAGAGTTGAATTAATTGTTCTCTCTCTGCTCTTAATTTGCTTTGTTGTAGTAAAGCTGGGGATTTTTTTTTTTTCACCGTTTGAAGTTTTTTATTTCTTGCTTCAGTTTCAGCCTTTGGTTCTGTTCACGTCACTCAGCCTAACTGTTCTTGCTTTCTTATCTGAGAAGCAGTGTGGGGTTTCTGTTTCATCTAATGATATTTTTCCCAGTCTGTATTTTTTTTTCATACAAAATGAATGATTCCTGGCTGATTTATGGATTTCTCAAATTTTGGAGCGCTCAAAGAGTTTAAAGGTTATCAATCTTAGAATGGCCTTTGCCAGCACATGTGGCTGCCTCCTTTATGCTGTGTTTGTAGAGGACATTTCTCATCGCCCCCAGGCCTGTTGTGCACTGAGTCCCACTATGCTTTAGGAATCTTTCAAAGTACTTTTCCAGGCATTTGCTCCCAATCAGGTTAGAACCAATATGTGGGTTGGAGCCTTGTGAGATCCAGCTATTTTCCAACTGGGCACCCAGGTACCCTAAGACAGCAGCAGCAGCCCCTGCCTGGACAGCCCCTGCTTATGGCAGAGTCAATCCGAAGTCCTGCCGTCTACCGTGAAAAAGTCTAGTAAATTCCTATAAAATCTCTTCGTGGAAATGAACGGAGACATGCTAAGGCGTTCTAGAAATTCCGTAAAACATGACTCCATTCCAGAAGGAGTTATGTTCCATTTACTCTAAGGCCACTTAGCAAATGGAGTTCGAAGGAAAGTCTGGCTCCGGAGCAATGGTTGAACCAAATCTGTGACCTCTTTTCCAACCAGTAATTCCCGGGTTCAAATACCAGAATCACTAGAGTACTTTTTTAAAAAAAGATACCGATTCCTTTTCAAAACACACATCATGTTTTCTTATTGAGAGAGACCGGGGGGGGAGCAGAAATCCATATGTGTGTGTGTGTGTGTGTGTGTGTGTGTGTGTGTGTGTAACAGAGCTCCCCAAGTGGTCATAACAAAGGTAAAACCAACAGACTTCACAACCATTTGTGGTCAAGATGAGCTCTGCACAAACAAGCAAACACGTAGTAACATAACCTAGCGACAAAATCAAGTCCTTAGACTTTTATTTTCTGTTTCTCTTTTTAATTTCTAATCACAAAGAACTTACCGCACCAGGGAGCATTATGGTAGAATTTTCTGTTGATTTATCCTAACACTAATGTTTAAGATTGCAGAAAAATTACCTGAGTTGGAAGATTTGATGTTTAAAAAGCTGAAATTCTTGCCAGTCTTTGCTTTTTTTTAACTTTGCTTTTATCCCTAATGAAAAATGAAAGGTATAAATATGTCAAAACCAGATGGTGTCATACCCAGCACAACATAGGCACTTACTACAAAAGTATGAACTCTTTAAAAAGTTATAATTTATTTATACTAAAACTGCCTCAAATTCTTTTTTATTGAGTTTATTGGTATATTTTAGGGATACAGTACAGTTACATTCATCATTGGGATCTTGTGCCTTTACATGACAGGTCTTGGGTCTCATTTTTTCCCCTTGTCCCTGCCCTCCCTTCGCCCCCTCTTCCCCTCCCCATTTACAAACACTTTATTTCCAGGGCCTATATCAGTGGCCAAAATTGCCCCTATTTTACAGATGAGGAGATTAAATAGAATTTCTTAAAGTCAACCTTGTAAAGAGACAGTGAATGTGGGGATCGAACTCAGGACCTTGTACTTGCAAGGCAGACACAAAAATCCCCGGCCCTGAGACAGTGAATGTTTAAATCCCAGGTCTGCCTCCTTGTGAAAGGCCAGCTCCTAACCTCTGCACTCTCTCTTTCACCCCCTCCCTCTTCCCATGCAGGCCCCAGGCATGGTTGAATATGAAGGAATCCCAGGTCTGAGGCTGAGCTCTGAGCTGAGTCTTCTGCCTGTGGGCCTTCATTCCACAAGCTCGCTCTGAGCTCTGTGAGGCACTTTGTGCTTCTCCTGTAAAACCAGTGAAGGTGAGATGTGCTCAGAGGCCCAGAGTTGACAAAGTAGCACTCTGTGGGCCCCTTTCACTTCATTCAAAATGCTCGGTCCACAGGAGGGTTATTTGTTAACTCTCAGAAAGTCTTAAATGCGACAATTAGTTTTAAACCTGTCTTGTTAAGATGACTGGGGATCTTGGGACTATGATAAAGCGCTCTCAGGATTTCTAAATGCTTTTAAGATAAGAAGTCTGCAGGGATTTGCTCTAGGACCTTGGCTGCTGCAGATTTAAAGAGTCGTCCGCAAAGTTTCAAAATAACGTAAAAATCCCATCCTGGCAGCACGGCCCTTCCTGTTTCTGGTGACTCCATCTTAACATGCAGTTATAGGAGGACCGGGTAAAATATGCTGAAGCAAATCCAAGGGTGTTTTATGAAATACTTGTGCTTCCTGGAGAGACAAGGAATTCTAATCACAGAAATTTATTAACTTGGAGCCTCCTTTCACGTTACATGTTGGAATTGAATTTTCCTGTGTGACGATCCACAGTTGAGAAGGCTCTGAAAAGGGGGGAGGTGAAAAGAAGCCATTACTTCATGAATAGAGTGGACTGGATGCGTGGTTAGTTGTCCATGGTCAGTGTGGTTGTCATCATTTTTCTTTGTTTTGATTTCCGGCTTTTGCAGATCAGAGTCTGCCCACTAAGATCTTAAAGAGCTTACCATCCGATCATTATTTATGTTCTAATGGGATTCCCTATTCTGGAAATCCATTTCCCATTGTGCTTGGCAGGAAAGCAGTGGGCCACCTGCAAAGTTAAAAAGTGATTTGTGGATGAAAACAAGGCAGTATTTTCCCTCAGTTTAGCTGAATTCAAAAAACACACCAGAGCCAGACAATGACCAGAAGGCCTTCTGCAAGACTGGCAGAGCTGGGTCTGAGAACACGGCTGATGAGACCCTCTGTTCCTTCACCCCAGTGTCCTGACCTTCTGTCTAGGACAGGTGCATGGAAAAGTACTGGAGGAAAAGGAGGTGCATGTTAGGAAATGGGAGAAAAGCTGGAGGTGTAGGTGGGTCTGCTCTTATGTGAGTGCAGAGACAGAGAGGGAGCACGAGTGGGAGAGAGACGGAGAGGGAGGAAGAGGGAAAGCACACAGCTCACACGTTACTAAGAACGTATCAGTGCTTTTACATGTTTCTCTGACACATAGGCAATCTGACGGACATAAGAAGTATCTTTTCATGAGTTACTAAGAAAATTGCCAGAATATTAAAATTGGAACAGAGATAGCAAATAAGTTTCATCACACCTGGCAATTCCAATTAGTGAGCTTTGGTAGCCACTGTCTAAAGGTATTCTGAAAAAGAATTGTGAGGGCCGGGGATTTAGCTCAGTGGTTTGGTGGCCTGCCTTGCAACTGCAAGGACCCGAGTTCAATCCCCGGTACAAAGAAAAAGAATTTTTGAGCCCATGTCCAGCTTCTGCAAAAAAAAAAAAAAAAAAAAAAAAAAAAAAAAAAAAAAAAAAAAAAAAAGGAGAAAAGAATACCCCGATTGATTATATCTGCTGCTGAAACAAGAAGAGATGTGGCAAATTGTATGCTATGCATTCCCATTTCTGTGATAAACAGTCACCTTGATTGTCCCTCTTTACCTTGCTGCATATGAGTAATAACAAGGCATTTGACTGCTAGTGTTACAATTCTTAAATTTTATTTTTAGGCCTCAGTATGGTGGCAAGTTCTGTCCAGGATCTAGCCGTATGTATAAGCTGTGCAACACTGACCCTTGTAGTGCAAATAGCTTGGATTTTCGAGCCCAGCAGTGTGCAGAATATAACAGCAAGCCTTTCCGTGGATGGTTCTACCAGTGGAAACCCTATACAAAAGTGGAAGGTAATTCACTCGCTGTAACCCTCAAGTGAATGCCGCTGTGCTGATGCTAATGGGAATGAGGAACACAGAAGAGATGGCTGCTGATGTATAAGCATCTCAGTGTTTACCTTTCATTCCCCAGACTTGTCCTTGTTCGCTTCTTTGTTAATTTCCATGGGTTTTGTTTATTTTCCCACACCTTTTTCCCCCGGCAAAAACCCCTTGTCTCCCACATCTGTAAGCGAAAGGATCCATGTGTCTCTAAACTCACCTTTGACATTTCAGCAGCTTTGCCTCCCAGGGATGTTTCTTGGGATTGGTATGAACGGTCCAGACCGAAGACTCATGGAACCACGTAACCCCCACAGAGACAGCAGCCTCAGCAACCGAGCTGGCGGTGACGGCAAGCACGGGGAGGGCATGTGTTCGCATGCGCACACACAGCCCTGACGAAAAGTTGTCTCTGTGGTGGATTCTTCTTGCTTTCCACACCTTACGGTTATGGCTTGCAGTTCGCTTTTTAAATTTGCTTATTTTTATTTTGGCTAATCCTCCCCTCCCCAAATTTTAGTTGCATTATGAGAATTTGATATACTTTCTATCACCTACACAGAATGAGATGCCACTATCCTAGTTGTTTTCTTTACACTGTTGCAGGCTCTTGATTTTATCAGAACTCACCTGCTGCAGCTTAAAAAAGGACCCACAAGAATCTCACATGTGCCTGTGGAGAAGGAGAAGCGACTCGAGGTTTTGACGGTTCACAAGCTATTTCTGTGTAAAAGCTGCAGATGAATCTGTATGATCAGTTACCATGGACGACACTAATGCAGTTAGAGAAATCTCCAGCAAACAGAGCCTCCAAGTGCAAAGCGAGGAGAGGACTGCTTTGCCCCAAACGAGCAGGGCCTGATCAGGAGTGTTGATCAGGTTTTGGATCATGACTTTATTCAGAAGCCCAGCCAGAGATAGACATAAATACAGTGGACCCTTAACTTACAAACTCAGTTCGTTTCCGAGGGCTGGTTGTAACTCAAGTTAGTCACTTGGCTTCGAAGTCTCTCCCTGTATAATGTTAGGCCACACTTTTCTTCCAGGCAGGTCTCGGTGTCCTTAGAGAGAAACTGGACTAGGATTTCTCAGTTAATCCCACACAGGAAAGGACGTTGTCAGATTCCTTCCAGAGTTCTTTAAGGGTTAAATCTGTATCTGGGGCCATCTGGAAGCACAAGCAGGTAGCTTTCAGGTTGTAACTCAAGACTTTGGTCATAAGTTAAAACTAAAATTCTGGTCATAATCCAAGTTGTTCCTATGTCAAGTTGGTCGTAACTGGCGAGTCTACTGCATTCCACAAGCTGTGTTTTAGGAAGGAGGGGTGAGGTACCTATGGACATTTACTGCTGAAAGGAAACTGTTCCAAGCATTTGAAGAGATGCTGAACAGAAGAGGGTTTAGATTTATTGGGAATTACTTCAGAGAACACAATTCAAAGGCTGAACATCTCTTAAATCTCATATTACGTTCTCAGGCCTCCATTGCCGGCCTATCTAAAATAAGTCTTCATTTTATTCTCCAAAATCTTTATACCTCTTCTCAAAGCAGACATTTTTTTTTTAATCTAGTCAACTTACTATCTTCCTCCCCAAAAGAAGTTAGGCTCCACAAAAATTAAGTCTTTGTTTCCTCGAGCATACTTTTATCCTCTGGGTCTTCAGAATCTAAGGACAGTACCAGGTATATATTTTGCAGTGTGTGAATAAACAGACATTACCTGTCCAAAATAGATGGGTGTACATCCCATTCTCCAGCAGTGAGCTCCTCGCTGCTTTACCAGGGCCCAAGTAATTACACAGGAAGGGTGCGCACAGTAGGTTCCGGCAGATGATTCCATGGAAGAGCTGGAGTTGCTCCAATCGCAGCCTCCCAAGGCTTGCTTCTTCTTGGTTTTATGTTCCCATGTTTCCTATCCATATTTCTTCCTCTAAGAGTCTGTTGTCCTTCCCTTCATCTTGCCTGTTCTCTGCTTTGGCTTCTGAGATACTCTGTGGTCTTTCATTCAAGAGCAGTATGTAGGGAATCTGTTCTGTTATTCTCCTTTAAATAGGTCCTGTGTTGGATACATAAAGAGAACTGTACATAAGTAAATGTTTTCTGGTTTCAATGTTCTTTCTTTCATTGTCTTGCCTTTTTCACTAAGCAGTGAGCTTTCCGTTTCGTTCATTCTCTGGTATGTCTGTGGAGCTCTCTCTGCACAGGAAAACATTGAAGAAACATCGTGCACGGCCTTATGGCCTCACATCCTAAGGGAGACACCAAAGTCAAGAATTTTGGTCTGTCTCCTCTTCTCCCACTTGCATGGGTGGAAAGAGGTAACTGGAAGGTCCGTGGCATTCCTGAAGTAAAGAAAAACAGAGCAACACTTTATTCTTAAATGTGTGTAGTCTTTCTCCTACAATAGTGAACTTCTTTTTCTTTCCTCTTGTCTTTCTCTTCTTCTCTTTCTAATGGAATAGTTCATAAATTTCCCCGGGCATCTGTGCTGCAAAAACCACACTTACTAGAACTTAATTCCTGGGAATGATAGAGAAAAGAGAATATATCTATATCATCCGACTTCCTAATCTCATCTGAGAAAATGAGGAGGCGTTAAATAAAGCTGTCATTTAAAACAAGCATAGTGGAAAGGAAAACTTTCAGCCTACCCACACATCTCCATATTTCAACCATATTAATTTAGTTTCCTTCGTGCTCAAGTTTGTCTTTTGTTGAGGGATTTTATGAATCACGATTGTTTGCAAACTGTTTACACATTTGTTATAAAACTGTTGTTAGGGATATCACTCAGTGTCACCTACGTAAGGTCTCATGTGAAAAATATCATCTGGAATTCTTGGCCAAAGAGAATTATTTCTCTCGGAGAATTGGCATAATAACTTCTTTCTGATAACAAGAGCTGTAAAGTTATTATTTCTTTTGCCTTGGATACCAGAAACTTCTCAGAGACTTCATGGTCAACAGAAGTTACTTTTTCAGACCTCAGGATTAGTTTATTTGCTCCTTATTCATTTTCAGGATATGATTTTACTCTCTATATACGTTTAAATGTTTTTGGCCGTATGGTGGTTTTCAGAAGTGCCTATAATTTTTCTTATTTAAAAATCTGACTAAATATCTTAAGTAATCCAACCCTAAATAAAGATCCTCAAAGTATTTGTTTTTTTTCCACTTTCAAAATGGGGCTGTACTTTGTATGTCTGGCTGCCAAGTGGCTCTGAATCTCCAATGGTATATTCGTGACTGTCCCGTTGGACATCACAGGACAGCTATGCATGTACCGTTGGCGTACAAGCCACCCAATGGGACAGGAATGCATGTACCAGCAGTGGTTCAAGCTGTTGGAAACATGATTTAAAAGTTCTTTCTTGAGAACACAGCAGTACCCTTTCATTTATATATTGTCAATGGCTGACTGCAGACCTCTGAAGTGTAGAATATTATCCAAAGGAAGCCAGCTATACAGCCTGCCAATCATGTGTATAGTAACTGTTGTTAAGGATTTAAGGATTAAAATCTTTGTGTAGTAATATGAAATCAGCTTTATAGAGATTGTCAAATGGTCTTTGTTTGTGTTGCGGTGCTGGGGATTGAATCCAGAACCTTGCCCGTGCTAGGCAACTGCTCTGGCTCTGAGCCCTTGAACTGTTAAATGGGGTTCATATTCTTAAAACCTACCTGGATGTATCACTATTGTACGCACACAGATGTACATTAAAAAACTGTGTATAGCATTGTCCACTTTGATCGTGATCAATTCTTGAGTAAATTTAATCTATCCCTTCACAGTCATATAATTTTCCTTACAATTTCCCTTTGACCTTATCCTCTCTCTCTTTTTGCTTCTAGAGGAAGATCGTTGTAAACTGTACTGTAAGGCCGAGAACTTTGAATTTTTTTTTGCAATGTCTGGCAAGGTGAAAGATGGAACTCCTTGTTCACCGCACAAAAATGACATCTGTATCGATGGGATTTGTGAAGTAAGAACATTTCCGCCTCAGGGTCTGGCCATACTTACGTTTCTATGGGTAAATGTAACCCACAAGGGCTATCAGGAGAGGCCCTGCACAGGCGACAGGGAAAGCAGGCTCAATGTTCCACTTGGATATGAACTCTAGCTCTAAAATCCCCACTGGTGCTTTTGCAGGGTGCCTGTCCAATTATTTTAATTTCTCTTTCATTCTGTTTCCCAGTGTAATAAATCAAAATGATGAGACATTTTTTATTTACATAGTGGATGTAATGATTATGGTAAACTTTTACTGCCTGTTACTAATTATATTCTCTGCATTGTTAGAACCTCACAAATACATTTTGAACTAGCTTGACTGTTTGATTGACTGTTTGTTTTGGTACCGGGGATCGAACTTAGGACTTTGTGCTTAGCAGGCAGGCACAGTGCTATGAGCTATATCCCCAACCCTTGTGACTATTTCTAGTTAGTTTTCTTTTCTCCTTCAGTACTCACTTTTTCTCTCATTTAAATTTGGCCATGAGCTCTTCGATCCTTTTAGGTTGTGTGTGTGTGTGGTGTGTGTGTGTGTATTACTGCCACATTTTTATGGTTTAGTCGGGGAACTGGCCTGGAAATCTCACCTGGTATTCCAGTGTGACAGATGTAGTGGAGTCCAAGCATCAGATAAGTTCTGTATCTTGTTCAGTCATGAATCTAATAATAGCAGAGGACAGGCATGAGCCCCAGTCAGACTAGAGACTGTGGTTTTAACCATAGCTGTCCTGCCTCTCTGATGTTCTGGAAAGACAGAAAACCACATACCTCGTAGTTATTCTTAGCCACTGGCTTCACTGATCATTAGTGATTTTCTAATTTTCTTTCCCACAGCCAGTTGGATGTGATCATGAACTGGGCTCCAAAGCAGTTTTGGACGCCTGTGGGGTCTGCAAAGGAGATAACTCAACTTGCAAGTTTTATAAAGGGCTGTACCTCAACCAGCATAAAGCAAATGGTAAGAGACAGTGCTATTGTGCTCTCATCACTGCTGAAGCAAAACTGCCACCAAATGTGTGAGTCACATTAATATGGTAACTGATACACAGATGATTGCTTTCAGCACTCATGCAAAAACAAGGGAGGATAGAGGTGTTTTGGGTGAGAAGTTTTGTCTGGACATTATAGTTCAGAAGTGTTTTGAGTGCATGCCTTCCTATGTTGTGGTCTAAATATGAAAATTAGGGGCTATCATATGCCCCAAACTAATTTGTCAAACAGAAAAACATATTGTGAGCTAGGCGTGGTGGTCTGTGCCTGTAATCATAGCCAATGGAGGCTGATGCAAGAGGATAGTAAATTCAAGGTCAGCTTGGGCAATTTGGAAAAATCTTATTTCGAAATAAAAGATCTGGGGATGTAGCTCAAGAGTAGATTGCTTGCCTAACATAAGCAAGGCCTGGGTTTGATCCCTAGGATTGGAGGAAGGGCAAGACATACTATAAAACTCAGGGGATCTGTGACCACAGTGGCACATGAATATTAGAAACAGTTATCTAAACATCTTGAGTTTCCAGAATATTACCTGTTGAGAACACATGGCTTTAAATTTCTTCTAGCTAGGCTAGAAAGACCAAAGAGCATTCCTGAGTTTGTGGCTTCTATTGGCCTTGGGTGGAGAAAAGTGTGTCTCCTGTCCATAGACACCTGCTCAGTAAGATACTGGAACAGCTGCATCATCTTCTAGTGCTTCTCCACCTGGAAAATGAAATAATTGCTCTTCCTAGAGTGGGACTGAGTGTCAGCCAGTGGTCCAGAAACTGCACTGTAAGAAAATGGACAGTGCATGGCTCTGGGCATTTCTGGCCCCCCTTCTCTAAGGCACAGTGTAGAATTCAGAGCCGTTCTATTCTTTCCATTTAGAATATCATCCGGTAGTCGTCATTCCAGCCGGAGCCCGAAGCATCGAGATCCAGGAGCTGCAGATTTCCCCCAGTTACCTCGCTGTGCGAAGCCTCAGCCAGAGGTATTACCTCACCGGCGGCTGGAACATTGACTGGCCGGGGGAGTTCCCCTTTGCAGGGACCACGTTTGAATATCAACGCTCCTTCAGCCACCCAGAACGCCTGTATGCACCAGGACCCACGAACGAGACGCTGGTCTTCGAAGTAAGCCCTTTTAGTTCATCTGTTTCTCAATGCTTTGTGCTACATTCATTGTGATGACTCCGACTTGAGTGACCTGAAAGCACTCTGATTCTTTCAGTCCAGATTTGTTTCCCAGTAGGCTCATTTTCAAAGTATAAGCAGGAGACGACAGTTAGCACCTCCCGGGGAGTGGGGGACAGAAACCCAGTGGGCTGCTCAGAGAATGTGTTGATTTTCACATGAGGATGCCAGCCTTTCACCATTATTCTGGGCTTTCATGAATGCCTAGGAATATAGCAGGAATGCTTTTTCGGTTATTCCAGTTGGTCTGTGTCTGTTGTTTAGATACTCCATTGTAGCTGATCACTGCAGGTCAGCTGGCCTATGAGGCAGAATTACATAGTAGAGAAAAATGTTGCTTGAGTGTCAGCTGAGTTTTAGTCATCCTACACCACTATGGTTTTGTAGGTTGCAGTTTCCCCAGAGATAAAAAAAAAGAAAAATATCTTAATGGGCAATGATGATAATATAGCCAATACCTCTGCAAATAACTCTGCAAGATTATTACCATATGTGGATTTTCTTTAGTCATGTCTTTGAGTTTGCTTTTTTTCCCCTCTTTGTAAAATGGGATTAATGGTTTATTGTCACAGGGCGAGTGACTAGCTTCAGTTTGTATAGAAGCAATACTATTACCACTAGCTGAACACATACAACTAGGGCATTCTTAGTAGTAATTTCAAGCTTCAATTGTTTTGCCTGTGCAGTTGGAGTACAAAACTTACTGTGTAAGTCAGATTTCTGTTCTGTGACAGAATACCTGATTCAATTAACTGGCAAAGAAGAAAGGTTTGTTTTTGACTCACAGTTTTGGTGGTTTCAGTCCATGGTCAGTTGGCCCTGTTGTTTATGGGCGTGTGGTGGGGGCATGAAATCACAGAGGCAGTAGGCAGTGAAGAAATCTTTTTATCTCATGGTAGCCAGGAAGCAAGAAGAGAAGAAAAGGGGTTAGTATCCCAGGATCTAAGAGTATCCCCACCTCCTAATGACACCACAGATGGGGGAACATGTCTTGAACCCATGGGTCATCACGGGGACACTTATATAAAGCACAGCACTTCACTCACTCACTTGCCAGCGTAGAGAATCAAGTGTTAAGGAAAGTTAAAAGATGTCCCGGGCTCACATTGCCAGGAAAGAGCAGAGGTGCACTAGTGTCCTGTCTTCGCACTCCGGACTATGATAACTACACCAGGCCGGTGCTCTCAAATCCAGAGAGCACCAGGCTGATGCGGTTGTGTTACTGTCACTGCTGTTAAGGCTCTTGTGGTCCCCATTTCCCCGTGCTTTGACCTTGTACTAATCAACTGTAAGCACCCTCTTTCCCCCAAAATAAGACCTAGCTGGAAAATAATCAACTCTCAGAACTAGAGATCAAAAAGTGACTTTCCCAGTCAGCTTATCCTTGCCTTGGGTTGTCTAAAAATTGAATATCAAGAGATAGCTATGAGAAGATTATTTGATGGGTTCTGCTAAAATTTTATATATATGTATGTAGATAGATAGATACTCTTAGTGCTAAGGAAAACATCATAATTCATGTTTATAAGGTTGGGGGTAGGTCCTCCATCACCCAAGCGTTTTTGTTCAGCTACGTAATTAATAAAGCAATTTTCAGAGACAGGTTTTCTTTCTGTCTCAGTGGAAGCCCTCGATTTATTCTCATCCTCATTCCCATGTGCAGTGGGATGGATAATTCTGCAGACAGGTGCCATGCTGCTGTGATGTTGGTAGTGACCTGCAGCTCTCCGCAGTTCAGTGGTGAAAGCAATGAAAATGAATTACTCTTAGCCTGTGTGTGGGAGTTTGCGTTCCATGTGTGTTGAGTTATTTGGGGGAATCTAGATGACATCTTGAAGTTTCCATAATGGACTCAGGTCGGCTGGGACTTTGGAAAGTGGAAAAGTGAAAATACCTATGAATTAAATTGTCAGTGAGCCCTTCTGTGTATCATGCTCTGAGCTTCTGTTGTGTCCCACAGTGACAGTAGCTGTGGCCTGAAAGGCAAAAAATAATAAATCTCTTTGTTGTGAAAAGTAGAGTGTTGGAAAGTACAGTAGAGTGTTATATAAATAACTATGTAAATGAACACAGAGTTATGGATCAGGATAAGTTGTTGGGAAGAAATTAATTGTAAGGAAATGAAGAGATTGGCTTGGATTAGGGAGGTATTCTCTGAGGTGAAACTTGAGGATGTGAAGGACCAGCTGGCTGAAGGGCCCAAGCAAGTTAGATAAAGGAAACGGCAATAAAACTGCATATTTTAGAACTGTGTGTGTGTGTGTGTGTGTGTGTGTGTGTGTGTGTGTGAGAGAGAGAGAGAGAGAGAGAGAGAGGGAGAGGGAGGGAGAGGGAGACAAACGCACACTGAGAAGCAAACACAGGGCCTTCATAATGAGCTACATCTTCAGCCTTTAATTTTTTTTTTTAAGACCAAATCTTGCCCATCACTAAGCTGCCCAGTGTAGGCTCATACTTGGGATTCTCCTGCCTCATCCTCCCAGAGCGCTGGGATCACAGGCATACAATACCACACTCAATCTTGTTTTAGAACCTTGTGGTAAGAAACGAAAGTATCGGGCTGTAGAATAAATACAGTAGGAGGAACAGACCACCATAAGCATATAAACCATGGTGAAGAGTTTGGATTTCATTCTAAGAACACCATCAAAATCTTACCAAAATGAGTGTTTTAAAAATATTCAGCAGCTACAATGCAGATAACTAATTGGAGAGACATGAAGTGAATTGGGGAAAAACATAAACTAATCTTCTAGAAGATAAAACTAGAACTCCTAGACAATGATACTGAAGAATTAAGGGCGGTTCTGCTCATACAACCTTTTAGACTGAGCATAGGGAGTTGTGGGAAAGGTTCCTAAAAATGCATGGGATGTGGACTTTGAGGGAGAAGGCTGTGTTGAGAAAAGATCTCAGGTCGCAGTTTTGAGCATCTGGTGGGTGTTTTTACCATTGTGATTATCTTGAGGATTCCTGGAAATAGGGGTAGGGAGAAGAGAAACTGTCAGGTCAGACACCTGCTATCGGCGATGCATTTTTGACAGCCAGGAGTAGCCATTGGCATGCAGTTGAGCGTGTGTTTGAAGGGCATCAGTGCCTCGGTAACAACTGAAGTAATACACGAGTGGGTCACTCATTAACTTAGAAAAGCATGTAAGTCCCAGTTTCCTTTAATAAAGCTACCCTCTTGGAGTAGACAAGTAAATTGTCATGTCCAGAATCTTCCTTGGAAAGAAACTCTTGAACCCTGGCTGACACCACCAATGGAGGGTCACACCTGGGACCTCACACCGGTGGACCCACATCTGTCGTCACTCTGGCATTTTCTCCTGCATCCTTGTCCTGTGCCTGTGCCCCCACACACAGGGCAGTGGGGCTGTCTTTGCTTGTGTCAGTAGGGATGACGTCCGAGATGCTGCTGCTTTTCTTTGTTTTCTTTCTTTTCTTTTTTTTTTTTTTT